CACAAAGCTTTACTGGGGCACTGGGCCCCTACTGCATATGCCCCTCCTTCCATACACAAATACAGACAAGCACACTGCCCAACCCTGATACATTCCAACCAAAATTACCAGTTGAGATATTAATAAGTGTAAGAGCATATTTGTTTTAACAAACATGAACATTTTCAACATTGCAGCTATAAAAAATAAGACATTACCAACTTTAAAAATAAAACGTTTCCTTATACACATTCTGAAGTAATCATTAATTTCTAGGTTTCAGAGTTTTAGTTCAGGGGAAATGTTAACTCATCCTGAACTAAGTTCAGGATGAGTTAATTTTTTGAGCATTAAAGTGTACCTCCTATTTTTCATTTTTGCAAAGCGGTCAATCACTTGACTGTGACTCAGCTTAGAAAGTTCATCCTTTTCAACTGATAAAATAGCAAGATGATGGAGCCTGTCTTGTCCCATTGTGCACCTCAGCCAAGTGTGGAACCTTCTCAACACACTGAATGACCTTTCACAACTACAGCTGTAGACTGGGATGGTGAGGGAGATCTGGATGACCTGTGTTAGTCTTGGGAATATGATGTTATCAAGCAAGTTGAAAACACACTGCATATCCTTGATGACAAGGCTTTTTTTTTCAACCAGGAAAAGCTTTCAAACCATTTTGAATTAAACAAACGTTTTTTTTACTCCAAATTTGTGCTGGGGATAGTGGGACAACTTCACTTGTCTAGGACCATCATGCTTTCCCCCTAAGTCACTAATGTCCCCTTCTTGTTTGTGGAAGCTGGTTGTTGCTCCCTCATCACCTTCATGGTCCTGTCTCTCCTGTCTCTCACCTGTCTCTCTCCTGTCAGTCTGGCCTCCTCCTCCCTTTCCTACTCCAGCACCTTCATTCTCATTCTCTACAGCAAACATTAAAAAAACGTAAATCTATAATTATGTAAATATCAATCATATTACTTATAACGTCCCTAATGTAACTGCTTAGCTTAAATCACTAATTCATCACGGGACCTTTCCTCCCTCCCTTTCTCTCATCTTGTTTTACTGCTTCCCTGTCTCTGCTTCGTGTGAGGAATTTCCTGATATCCATCTACAAACCAATGCAG